CAGCGGCGCCCCCGCGGGCCGCTCGGGACGGTGAGGCTCTGCCCCAGGGCCGTGCGGCGGCGGCGGCGGCAGCTCGAGCCGCGCCTGCCCGCAGCTCCTGCGCCYGGCCAGGCCTTTGCCTCTCGTGGTTGCCCCGTGCTGCGCACTACAGCCTTGAACTCCTTGGGGAAAGGAAAAGAGTTGCATTCGTTTTCTTCTCTTGTAGTCGAGCCTCGAAAGTGGAGCCTTTGTGGCTTAGGGCGCCGCGGGGAGCGGCCCCCGCGGCCGGGAACGGGCGGAGCGGGGCGATCTCGGCCGTCAGTGCGGCCGCGGAAGCTGAAAACGCAGGGCCCACGCCGGCCCCCTCAGGACAGGCGTGAAGAGCAGCAAACACAGTGCAGCTGCTCTAATGAGATTGTAGCCGCCCCRTGCGGAGTCCCAGGGTTTCCCGTTTTGTTTCCTCCTCTTCTCCAGACCCTTCCCTCCGCACCTACAGGCTGTGCTTGCAGTGCTAGCACTGCTGGGGCTGTTGTGGCCGAGCTGAGYTGACTCCTCTGCTCTTCCTCCCCGGCTTTCTCCGGAACACCCTCCTTGAAAACACGCTGGCTCTGCAGGCGAACTGCAGGCTGCCCTCAGTGTTGAAATCAACTCCTTGCGCTTCACAAACAGCTGATTTAATTTCAGAGTAACAGGCCTGTTGTAGGAGCAGCCAGTTTGGATTCCTTCTCTTCCTATTTTCACAGGACATGTGTTTGCTCACCCACTGTTTTCAAGAGGGGTGTACCTTGAGTGTTCTTGGCTTACAGGGCTTTAAATATTTGCAAGTAGCTCTTCAGAGAAATAGCACTGAAAATACCAGTGCACATGCATAGAACTCGGTGCATTTCCTCTTGCAGGGGTGGAAAAGACTCAATAAGAAATTAGGTCATGTGTAATATATGCTTTAAATATTCATTTGAAGATGGCATGGCAGAGTGAATTTAAATGTGAACCAGAGGAAGGTAAATGTTTTGTTCGATAAAAAGTGAAACTTTGCACAGATTTGAAGGTTGTGGGAAATCTGACTATGGAATGGTAAATGGAAATCAGTGCAGAAATCAAAAAAAGTTATTTTTATCAAAGCTGATGGGTGGTAGTGACTTGCTTGTTATTTCATATGGGTTAATGGAGTGGAACAGCTGAGAAGTCAAYGGCAAGGAAGAAGTCAAGATAGCATAGTGGGATTCAGCATGTCTGTTAGGCCTCTGAATTAYATGGGAGAGGTAAAAGTCCCTAAATGTGGCTGTCATGTGTTTATCATCGCTATCATATGAAGAAAGAGCTAAGTGTATTGACCTGTTTCTTTTTGTTGTGGGATTAAGGTTTCTATGACTTTTATGTTTATATCTTTTGTAAGCTTCTGTAGCATTTCTGATCAAGTTTTCTTGATGGTTTTTAGACATTAGTGTATTTGTCTAAATTGCAGCCAGTGTTGCTGCTGAAGATGAAGCGTCTCATCTAAATAGCAGTGCAACAACAGGAAGGGTGTTTGCTGTATTGGTAATTACAATAACTTTATCACAGTAAGACATAGGTTCTTGATGTAGGTACTGATTTGAAAGGGTCATTTTTTGTTTGTGCTGAATACTTTTCCTGGAAGAAGTGGTATGGTGTCTATTCAGGCATACAAGGATGGTATTTTTAAATATGTCATAGCAAGATTGATTAGAAGGTTTCATGTCTTACTCAGCAAAAAGCTGTCTACAATAAAGTAATCTTAGAGTAAACTCATGACACACCATTTGTGGCAGAACAGCAGCAGTAAATACACATATTAAGCGCTTTCCTAAGGCAGGCTGCTAACTCTGACCAGAAATGGAGATACTGAGACAATGCCTTTGCTTACCTGCTAAAGCAAATGCAGTTACAAATTGTATGGTGATTGATTTTTAAATTTAAATTTTTTTTAAAAAAATTGAAACGTTAAGTTGAAACACAAACACTAGAACTTGTGTTTGTGGATATGTTTGTAGTTTAAAGTATATTAAACTTATTCTAGTGACTTCAATTTTCTTATTTTTTTTCTAAAGAAAACTAAATGGGAAGAGTATTTGAGGTAATACCATTTTAGGTTGTAGATGCAACTGTTACACTGTTCATGAATTGACGCTAACAGTTTCGTCTTTGTTTGACAGCATTGCAGAAATTCAAAAAGATGTGGAGTATCGGCTGCCGTTTACTGTGAACAACGTGACAATTAATATTAATATGTAAGTAGAGATAGCTCATTGCACCCCCTGAAAATTAGTATTGTTCTTATGAAAACGAGCAGTAGAATGTCATCTACTTACAGATCGTGCTGCATTGTCTTTATTAGAAAGTGATTAGAGAACTATTCTGTAGAAAATATCCCTAACACATTACTAATTTGTTTGGTCTGTGGACATAATTGCTTCATTGTTATCAAGTCCTTTTTTCCCAGCAAATGCTCTTCTAGTTCCATGGAAGCCTAATATTCTAATATCTCTGAAGTGGCATTACTGACTTCTAATTTTGTAACTGAATAATCCTCTTGGGTACTTTATATTATGCTTTTTCCATCACAGTTTTCATATGAAAGTGTGTGGTTAGTAGCATGTTTTCTTTGTATAAGAAGTATTCTTAAAGCAAACTTTATGTAGTAATGGTTATTTTAACCATTTATATATCTTTTATATTTGCAGATTACTACCACCTCAGTTTCCTCAGGAAAAACCAGTCATCAGTGTGTTCCCACCTGTGAGACATCATTTGATGGACAAGCAGGGTGTATATGTGACCTCTCCACTAATAAGTAATGTATGTATGATTTAAAACTTTATATATGCTTATTATTATCTAGCATTTTTAATGCATGCTTAATGCATGTTAGATTTTTGCCAGTCTTTTTGGCAAAAAAAAAMCATTTACACGGATCCTAGTCCCTGTTAAATGTTCTTGGTTTGAAAACAACAACTCAGTTGGAGTCAGCAGATTACTTCTTTCTTCTTACTGCTACTATTACTGAATTGGGTATTTTAAGATTTATTACATATAAAACTATTTTAAGATATGATGACTTAGTAAGTTACCATCACTTTTCTTCATGGTATCGGTAGCATAGTTCTTATTTTTCTACAGTATATTTCAAAAAAAGGCAGAAGATACTTTAATGCAGGTTTCAGCCTATTTCKTTCTGCCTGTATTCTGACGAAGTATGAAGATTGTAGTTCTAATGTGCATTTTTAATATGTTCTTTACCAGCGTAGATGCCATGCTTAATAGATTATCCATTTCTAACAGCATATTCAAAAAGTCTTTGTTTCTATTCAGTTCTGAGCAGCTTTAGCATTAGAAGAAACAAAGTTTTTGAAGTATGTGCAGCTTGTGTATGCAAGTTAGCGTTTGCTGATATGTTTCAAATTATTTACCACAGTGCCGTGTGGGGGTAATAAATTGCTGTGTTTAGCATGTTTCAGAGGTTCTGGGTTCCAGAAATTTTTCTGCTTTATTTAGCTTCTTTCTTTTATTTTTCTTACCAGTTTACAATGCACTCGGACCTTGGAAAAATTATTCAAAGTATATTGGATGAGTTCTGGAAGAATCCACCAGTTCTGGTTTCTAGTTCAACATCGTTTCCATAGTAGGTTTTTATAAACATAATAGAACTGTAATATCTTATTCAAATTGCTGCAAAGATTAAATAAGGCATTAAAGCATGGAGGAAATGAAATGATGTAGTGGATTTATTGAGATAGTCACCTTTGTGCTTTGCAAAGTGATGYGCATGCTTCATACTTAAAACAGTCATGCTTAAAACATGATTAAGAAGCAATACTGACTTGTGCTGAATTTATAGTATCAGCATGCTAATATGACTTTTAATGTTTTTTTCTTGAAAAGAAAAAAGTATTTACATTATCAGAAGAAAGATTGAAGTCTCTAGAAATCATGATGTGAGCAGTTGTATTTTTTTCATATTTTGTTCATAACCTTTTAGGCCAGGAAGCATTCTTTTTCTTGCACAGACATTAATTTAAATAACTGGATTAAAAACATATGGCTGAATGTATCAGACCATGCTTGAGTAGTATAGTTGTACAGACAAGGTTGTAGTGTTTTGCATATACAATTGTGGATTTAGAGAAAAAAATCAGTATTTACATATGTATTTTCAAAGCCTTTAAATAATATGCTGTTAATGAGAATAACACGGATATATTTTTTAAGGCTTCTATATGGAAACAATAATAATTTAAATAATAAATTAATAATAATTTAAATCTGTGCTCTGATTTTTGAGRAGCAAGTTTTTGAATACACTTATGCCTTACTCTCTAACAACTAAAGAGTAATTATTTTTGACTGCTTTACAGTAGCAGCCAAACAGACTTGTGGAACTGTAGAGCACCACATGTAATAAAAGTGGACTTAAAATGTTAGAAGTAAATAGGAGCYGAAATGTTTGTCATCTTAAAATTCAGTATTATCTCTTGTACCTGTTCTAGTAATCACAATTCAGATGAGGAGTGTGCTGCAAACCCCTGGTTCTGATGATGGTGGTCTCCTTGTTTTTAGCCTTTATAGCAAACCCCCTGGAATGCCTCCGTACGCCCCTCAGGCGTTTCCGTTCCTCCCTCCGTATCCACCCCAAGAAGCAAGCCGACCTCTAGCCCCCGTGCCAGTCCCTGAGCCAATTCGTCCCAGTTATGCTGCGGAGAAGCCCGCTGCTCCCTCCTACGGCTTGATTGAGGATCTGCCCCTGCCTGTGCCCACGGCCGAGGCCGCGCTGCAGGTTTGTGCTGCCCTTGCCTGAAGCGCCGCTTGCCGGGCACTCGCTGGAAGCCTCTCCAAGGCAGGCAGGGCCATGCCCCAAACCCGAGGGATCCTTCTGATGAAGTAAACTTACCTGTATTGCTGGTGCTAGAGGAATGGAGCTGTCCTTTTGTTTGTGGCAAAGGGGTTTTTGAGAACAAGACTGAAGGCAGAGCCACAAGTGTTTTTCTTTCTGAGTTTTTGYTAAATTAGAATGCATGCTAAATATATATATCTGCACTGTATTTTTAAATGTATRGTGTCTGCTTTTACAGCCABGGAAAATGAAAAACCCTAGGATTTTATAGATAGAATTTATCAGATAAGAACCATGTGCAGTCTCTGGTCTTTGCATGTRGGCTATTTTACTAATGTTCACTTCAATAGCTTCTCATTGTCGTGTGCGTGTGTACCCCCCTTTTCTGACAAATGTTTTGTTTCTCTTATGATGTTAAAACTGTCTTTAGAAGCTAAAGCTTTTTAATCTTAAAAGCACACTTTGTTCATGTGGTGGAACTGAAAATTTTTACTTCCTGTGAGGAAAGATATTTTTTTCTGTAGAGATTCTTTTCCCTGAGGTTTATAAGCTATAAACATGTGTGAGATACTGAAATTTCTTTTCTGTTTATTTTTCTGAATTGCTTTTCCTGTTTATTTCTTGCATTATGCGACAGATCTTGAATGGAGTGCTTAGCAAGATGGAAATATCTTCCTCCAAATTTGAAATGCCACCTCAAATGTTCCCAAGTATTTATGTTGCCATGATTTAGACTTTTTTTATTTGAAGACTAGTGCTGTATTTACTTAATACTTTGTTTTTTATTGATGACAGATTAGTTTCCAGGCTTGGATTATCAAGAAATTGCTGTTCAGAGATTTGCTAAGCATTCCTAAACTTGCATTTAGGTTGGCCAGAATGGATTTACTTACAAGATGCCTGATGTTCCTGATACGTTTCCAGAACTCTCAGAGCTAAGGTAAATTTCTGGAAAGTGAAAAAACTTTCATATTTGTTAAAAGATGGTTATTGAAGGTCTCCTTACATCAAAGACCTTTATAGAAATGATAAATAGGACAAATGTTCTGGAACTTCACCAGGGACTTGATTGCTACTAACACAGTGACTAYAACTCTTGAAGGAGAAGGTGGCATAGGAAAGTGGACTGGCTTTGCATCAAAAATATTGTCACAGTTCAAATATTTTCACAATATTTTCATGGTAACTTGCTCTGATCTTCTAAGGCAGGCTGCTTAGTCTGTTGTSTGTGATTGAAGGGATGATTTTGTTATTAATTATGAAAGGATTTTAGGAACTTAGTATATTCACTTACTGACTTCATCTTTCTGATGTTGCTGTTAATTGGAAACTGTATTCTGTGAGGAAAGAAAAGGGCATTTGGCAAGAATAAATTCTGGGATTTTTTTTGGCTGTTCTTGAGACCTTTCAAGAGTGTTAAAATTAGCTAAATGGACTCTTAAGTTCTAGCAGCATCTATTACGTGGCAGAAAGGTTTGTGGTTGTGGGTTTTTTTAAATAAAAATTTTTAAAATAAAAAAATWAAAATGTTTTAAAAATAAAACATTTCAGGAAAGTCTTGTGTTTCCAAAAAGACCAGCTTAAGTTCCATGATTCTTCTGTAAGCAAGTTGAGTCTTTTGTTGGCAATGTGGTGAGTGTATCTAAAAGTCATGAATGATATTAGAGCTGTGCTGGCTGATCTTAAAAAAAAAAAATGCTTTACAGGATATAAGGCTTGAAATGATGCTTTCACACTGCATTTTTTAAACTCTCTGATGCAGAGAGTAGTGCATATCATCCACATTAACAAGTAAATATCTCAAACTTCCATGTTTTGGCAGAAGTAAGTAACTCTACATGTTTGTTAGTTTAAAATCTGCTTTCTTTCTCTTTGAATCTAGTATATCACAGCTGACCAATATGAATGAGCAAGAGGAAGTTTTACTGGAACAGTTTGTGAATCTGCCACAGCTGAAGCAAGTCATTACAGACAGAGATGAATTAGTGACAAGTATTGAAGAGCTGGCGAGTAAGTTGTGAAAATGTTAGCATCTCTGCTTGGATTCCAGGAACTGAATCTTTAAAAAAAATTATAAGAATAATGATTTTATTTTACAGAAAAAAATTTGTTGTTGGAGCCTAGCTTAGAGGCGAAAAGACAGACAGTGTTGGATAAAGTAAGTACACAAKGAAAACTTTTTCAGAAAGTGTTCTATATTTTCAGAGGGGAAAAATATTCTTTCTTTTTATTTCTAGTATGAGCAACTCACACAGATGAAAGCAGCCTTTGAGAAAAAGATGCAAAGACAGCATGAACTCAGTGAGGTATATAATCTTGATTTCACATATTTAATCCCTCTTTACTCCAATCAAGATTTTTTTTTTTTCTTTTGCAGGTTAGATTGCTAATCCACTAGTTTTTGGAATTTGATTTAAAAAAATTCCTTGTGCTTTAAATGAACAACCAAGCAGGTATCTTTACTTGGATTTTCAGCACAACAGCTTTTCAATTTTATTCTAACTGCTTCAGTTATAATAAAATGAAGGGCCCAGCATAAACTGCTCAAGGTTAGCTGCATAAAGACACTGCGAAGCAGTAGCTTGTTCAGAATTGTGCTTCTACTAGTTAAATATTTTTCGCTTTATTGGACCATTCTGTAAGGGGAGAAATGCTGTTAAGTTTTGCAGATATAGTGTGTGTGGTGTTTTCCATAATACCTACTGCAGGGACCAAGTGAGAGAAATTGCATATTAATAGCATTCAGTTTTGGAAACCTAAATCATGATTGAGTCATTAGAAGGTTATTTAAAAGCTGAATCAAAGGGGACTTTTGTTGCTTTAAACTTTTCCTGTGTTTGATTTTCAGTAGTGTCTACTGAAGGCACTTAAATCACGAAATGTCTCTGCAGAAATTTTGCACTCAGAAACAAGACAAATTTACTATCTGGGTGCTTCCAATGTTGTAGAATATCAGTGAAGTTGAAAGTTTACACACTTTTGATAACTAGCTTGTGAATTAAGTTGAGATCAAGAACCAAGTTGGCAACACTTCTCAAATTGAATCATTTCTAGATTATCTATTTATACTGTTTCTTGGAGGTGATGTTCTATTCAGTCACTTAGTCTTTTATGTACTAATACTAATGTTCTCTCCATATATCCCATTTTTATGTAGTCATTTATCTATCTTCTTGGAGATATGAATTTTGATGGTCAATTTAGTTTTAAATAGGTGTTTTTATTTTTTTTAGAGTTGCAGTCCAAGTGCTCTGCAAGCCAGACTGAAAGTAGCTGCTCATGAAGCTGAAGAGGAATCTGACACAATTGCAGAAGACTTTTTGGAAGGCAAAACAGAAATCGATGACTTTCTCAGTAGTTTCATGGAAAAGAGAACAGTATGTAATGAATAATCTCATTATTCTCACTGTATCTGAGACATACAGTGTATAGTAAATAAATTTAAGACTTAAGCAGATTTGACCGATTTTGTGATTCAGACTAGGAGTTTAGCAAGCTTCAATAGAACAAAAATATATCCATAAGTGGCTTCAGACACTTTAAACTTTACACTCCTTTAAAGGATTTTAAGCTTTTAACACAGGAATGCAAGTATYTCTTACATCTGGCTCTAAGCCTGTGCTGTTGCAGGTGTTTGTGTCCCATATGCTTCTCTATGCTGTAAAAAATAGAGGGAAATAGCTATAAGGGTATTTTGAAATTTGAGAAGAATTCTGTCGAGAATGATACTTAGTATTAAGCAACTTTATCCCTTAAATTGAACTATCCAAATTCTAGTTGAACCAAGTAACAGGTTCATAAATCACTTTTCTAAACTGATCTGACAAGAACAGCTTGGGAGCCCACCTTTTCTTTAAGGATGTCTAAGTGTGTTTCATAAGAAATTATTGTTTTCTGCTGTAGTTGACTATGTTATCAAAATATAGACAATTACTCAGCTTGGAATGTTGGAAGGGAGGTATCTTATTTTTTAGAAGACCCTGCCAAGTAGCTAAATCATTAATGACAAATTGTGGTATGTGTAGTCCAAAATTCCTTTCAGGAGTCACTGTCCTGTGTCTTGTATCTTAGCTCTGCCACTGTAGAAGAGCCAAAGAGGAAAAACTTCAACAGGCAATAGCAATGCACAGCCAATTTCATGCGCCGCTATAGGTAAGCTGCTCTTCCAATATTTGTGGTGAATTCGCTTTTAAGTCTGCCACTTAACTAATTGCTAATTGCCATTTTGTTTATTACAGTATGTGTTCATCGGGAAAAATAAGTTCCAGAGAAAAATCACTAGTTCCATCTATTTTCTGTTGAGTGAGAGAAAGCAGACAATAGATTCAAAATTTCTGTTTAGGCCTGTATGTGCTGTGCCTGTAATTAATTCTAAAGCTTAATSTATGAAAGAGTTAATGTCTAATTACGGAAATTTGTCTTTACAGAATTCCTGCAAACTAGACCCACCAAGAGAAGAGAGAACAAACCCAATAAAGCACACTTTATAATACCTTTTATTTGCAAATAAGCATTTCATGTGTGGTTGTATTTCTAGAAGAGATTGTATACAGAACTGGGACTGTTTTTGTACAAATTGGAATGTCTCTTTATATTCTCATTGTACTCAAGAAATCCTTCTATTGCAATCTTTGCACTAATTTCTTGTATTTATTGTTGATAGTTCTTATTATACTTGAGTTTCTGCTGCTATACTCCATTCTTCAGAGATTAAATATCAAAACATGCAATTTTGACTAGCTTTTTACATTTTTATAAAAACATGATTCATATCTTTTGTATTCCTAACTCTACACATAGGTTGGATCTATGAAAGTTTGATGTGGGAATAGGGCTTTGGAAATTGAGGTTAATTATTTGAGATTGACAGTGAATTCATAGRCTGTTTTCTTCTTTCTTGAGGCCAAAAATGTTCAGCAACACTATTTTTTTTTGAAGTACTAATACAAAACTGAATATAGACTGTATTGTGGTTTTGGATAAGTAGATTTGAGCTAAGCAAAGTATGTTTTGGAACAAATTATATTGGTATCAATCAAATAAATGATCTCTAGATTTAATATGTTACTCAGCACTAATGGAATCTTGATTTCAGGTGTGGCATGGTACCTACCACTGTAATTAAATACAACTTTCACTTAGCAATTTCATTTTCATACTYGGTTTTCCTTGGAAAGACAAAATTCAAATTGCTTCATAGTTTTGATAACTCATACAATGTGAATACATGGATCCTGTGAGGAACTTGAAAGCACTTTATAGGAACTTAATTCTGAAGTTTTGTGAAGTAGCAGTTATTTTCTATTTTTTATTTGATTTTTAATGAACAAAAAGTGTTTTATCTAGGGTTACAGTGTGTCAAGGCCAGAGATGAAAATCTGGAGCAGTGAGTCTTAATCCTGTCCTTTTCTCAGGATATTTTTTTGGATGGGAGAGGCATCAGGTAAGGATGGATAGTGTAGCCAAGGACCAGGTCTAGTGCTCTGTAGGAGAAAAGTACAACCTCTGAACACGTGTTATCTCTTGCTGTGAAAAGACACATTCTTATTTGTCTTTTCAGTGAATTAAGTTTTCATGTGGAAAGTTATGGTTCCAAAAGAAAATCTCGTTGTACAATTGGACAGAAATAAGGTAAAAATGTGCAGAAATTAAGTAATCTATTAGGAATCCTGATGTTATAGGCCTGTAGCCAAGATGTTATGACTGCAGTATCTAGAGTCACAGGTCACTGCAAATTCAAGTCTCAGCCTAAAGCAGGTCAGACCGGGACTGTGTTTTCTGTATTGGTAATCTTCTGGATAGTCCTGAAGTCAATGCTCTAATAGTCTTTGCTTCTAGCAAAGTGGAATAGTGTTGTTCTTTTCCAAACGGAGATAAGTGAGTAAACTTGGAGGTACAAAGGACATGTAAGCACAGACAGCCTAATCTACAAATGAGAAAATTTTCAAATAGGGTTTCAGGTTGTGCCCTGTYATATTACAGTATTGTGGTCATCTGTCCTAAGGTACCACTTTCCAGGGTGAGAAAATATATTTTTTTGTACTTTGAGGCTTTTATTTGTGGATTGTTCCTTTATTTTTGGTTAAACATACCCAATATTTGCCATTAAATATCCCAGGCAGATAGAACTTGCTAAATCAAATCGAAAGAGATGTGCTTAGGTGCTTGAAGCTTTTAAGTACTACTGGATAAGAAATGGTTTGAAGAATATCTCCTTTCACAAAGAAAAAGGTTTGAGGTTGCATGACAGCCTGTTTCTTGACCTTACACTTCTGCTAACATGGTAACTAAAGTCATAATTCAAAATGAGACCCTCTAAAAGGTTTTCTGGGTGGTCTGAGTATCTCTGCACCTTTGGAGAAGATTCAAATTTAAGATGAACTCTTGCCTTCAGTGYTACATTTTTTGGCAAATTCCATCTACCTTTGCACTGAGTGTGCACTCCGTTGTGGAAATTTTTCTTAGCATCTAGGCTAAGGAGTTTAGACTGGAGGCAAAATTCTGTGTAGAGTTACCTTTTTTCCTTTCCCTGAACAGAGGGAAAAGGGACAGACGGCCAAATATTTGGTGCTATTCATCAGTTGAGCAAGCATCTCTTACATGTTTTGTAATAGTCTGGAAGAACAGAATTTGTCCTCATCTGTGCCCGTCTGTTGAATGTTACATGATGTGTGGTGCTCTCCTAAGACTAAACTTTCTACCTGGGTCACTAAGTCATCTTCAGAGGATTTGCTTCCCAAACAAACACTAATGCTCAACACTTGAGCTTTTCCTCTTAGGCTATTAGTGTGTGTGGTGTTTTTTTTGACAAAACGTAAATTTGGAGGTTTCTGATGGCGCTGCAGGAGAGTCTAGAAAAAATTCCACGTTCAGCATCATCTCTTGTTCAGGGATGTGAATGTTCAAGGTTCTCTTTTCTGCCTCTTATTGGTTCTCTTGTAGTTGCTGTTCCTGCACTTCTCCTGTACTTTTAGCCGCTCCTGCAGTCACAAACTTCCATTGAGAGAATGCAGACATCTCTATTGGGCGAGGACGTGCTGGCTTAGCTGCCAGTGTCCTGTAACGTGCAGGAAAGGCCAACCTATTTCTGGTTCTCAAAGAACAAGCCAAGCCCCTATGGCTTATGGCGCTCTTGATTTAGTCTCTCACTAGTTGTGCCAATGAAGGTTTTTCTCCTAATCWTCATTCTGTCAGTGAAAGACCTAGTAGACCCTGACTGTGTTCTGCCAAAGAAATAATAAGTTGTCATGTTTCTAGCACACTGATAGTGCTTGCTCTTAAGCTCTTCCCTTTTGCAGAAAGATAAAGTGTAGGTGTAAATCCAGCTTAAAACTATGTCATATGAAGTGTAGGAGAATGGAAGCTCTTAGATATGTAATCTAAAATCTCTTTAAAATGTGTCAAGTGAAGTTTTAAGCAGCTTGCAGTAGCAAGGAATATACAGGAGAGTTGGTGTGTTGTGTTCATGCTGAGTTAGAATCTAACTTCTGACCTCATTGCTATGTTTTCTGAGGTAGAATTTAACCCCCTTTTATTGCTCCCTGARGTAAATGGCTAGTGAAATCCAGACCTGCAATCTCTGTGTGATTGTAACTGACTTTATTTTTAAATGTCTGTAGTTTGTTGTCTAAGGCTGTGAAATCAAGTTACTTTAGAGTGATATATATACACATACATATATGTGGTATACACAAGGTGGTATGCAATTGTGGAATTAATAGCACTTTCTTTTGGGAGTTACAGAAAGTTTTCATAAATTTCGCAGAACATTTGACATGTTAGTCTCTTTTAAAGGTATTGACTTAAAGGTAGTCAATAAAGGTATTGACTTAAAGGTAGTCTCTTTTAAAGGTATTGAGCTATGTATAGCTATGCTGGACACAACTACAAGCAATAGACTATAAGATCTAAGTAGTACCTAGTATTATAGTTGTTGTTTGCTGTGTAAATACTCTGCAGCTTCGTCTCTTCCACCCTTGACCAGATACAGAAATGAGAAGTCTTTTAGTCTTGTTTCTGTCCAAGTTTTTGCTACTTCTTGCGAAGACCAGGAATGTGCTTGTAAGAGGAATTTGGAGACTTTCAGGTAAAGCTGAAATAAAGCTCTGGTGACAAACCTAAGTCAGTTCTCACAGCCTTACTGTGTACATGACTCTGCATAGTAAATTCTTGCAAATAAATGCTTTGGAATTTCTAACAATTCTGGTAGTTGTCTAAGTTGTGGGTGGATTTGTGCCTTGCAGGACTTGCTGGGTGGAGGCAGAATTGTGCTGGAAAACATTTTGCAAAGAACAAGCAATTTATACAATCTGCAATCAACTAGTTTAGGACAAACTTTCATTCTTTTTAACCATTTTATTCTATTTAACCATTTTGGCAGCAGTAGTTCTTGGAGGCTTCTTCACTAGAATGAGCTTATGCTTTGAAAGCCCATACTGCAGCTTTCTCTACTGCTTTTGTAAATGCTATATCTTCTCAGATATAGGTAAAGATCTTTTTTTGTACAGTAATAAGTTAAAAGGGAGATTTATATATCAGTAAGAAGTAGATACCATAACATGTTAAGAAAATGCTGACACTTTATTTCTTTGAAACAAACTAAATGTGTCAGAGCGGTTGTGGCAACCAGTACACTTTCATGATGAGCCCTCGTCTGAACTCRCTGTGATTCTAATGGACTACTAAAGGCCAGAGCCCTGGAACAGGCTGCCCAGGGAGGCTATGGAGCCTCCTGCTGTGGAGGTCTTCAAACCCCACCTGGATGCCACCCTGTGCTCYGTGCTCTGGGTGTCTCTGCTGGAGCAGGGGGGTTGGACTAGATGAACTCTAGAGGTCCCTTCCAACCTCAACCAGTCTGTGATTCAGTGTAATAAGGCTTTATTGGCTGCTTCTCCGGAGTATTTTGTATTAACAGACACTAAACTGTATTGTAAGGATCAACTTGATTGCAGGTGCTTGTCTGACAATTTAAATAATATAACTATGAATCTTTATCTTACCCTTTTCTTCCTATCCCTACATATTTTTTTCCTGTTTATCCATTCTCTGGCTGTGACCTCTGGAAACTCTTCTGGCACAAGAGCTGGGGCAGGCTTCCCATGGGTGATAAACTGAGATGCTTCTAACTTCCCCACCCATGTGTTCCTCCCTGCACAAACCCCACACCCTCCTTTCCCTTGGATTGCCCATGTTCTACCTCTACCATCTAGAGGATTTTCAGTTACCTGCTCCACAGAGTGGACAGGAGACCAGTCTCAGCCTCTACAGAAAAGCAGCCCACTGCCTTGTCTGTAATGCTCGTTACCTGTTAGAGGATTTCTGTGTACAGATGGGAACAACATCCACATAAAAGCCTCAGTTTAACTTGTCAGCAGTGACAGAATGCTTATCTTCATTGCAGCAGCTGCATTCTGATCATTGTGTTTTTTTGAGATCATTTTAATTAYTAGTCTGTTAAACATGATCTAGAGTATAGAAACCCCTGCTCTGGCTTCTGTCTTGTCTTTAAGGAGTGCAGCTCTCTTCGCATTGCTAATTCTGGAGAGCTTTACTTTCTGCCTCCCCCCCTCCTTTTACTGTTTTTTCCCCTTAAGCATGATTATATGCTATATATGATGAAAAGAGAGTAGGCAGCTTAAAATGAAGGATATTTCTCAGCTCTTTGGAATTTATTTCTGTTTATTACAGCATTGGCTTATGTTGTGGTCTACCAGTAAAAGCTACTAATGTGTTCATTTTTCCGGTCTGTTCTTCTGGCCAGAGATTTTCTTGTAGAACATTTAGCTTTTGATCCCATTGCTTTCAGTGTCACTTCAGGGTGCCTTTCACACTAAAGAGCAACTTGAATTCAATGAGGCTAAAATTATACCATAGAAATCTGTAATACTCTTCTAATCCCTTCTTTCCTGTAGTCTGTCATGCTCATTTGTGTCCCATTTCAAATTACAGCAGGCTTATTGCCAGAATTGCAAGGATTTGCAGCAGAGGGAAGACTCCCAGAGCCTACAGGAAATTAAGGTAGTTCAGCATCTTTCCATCCTCTTCATTTTTTTTTCAAAAAAAAAAAAMAAAAMCCATAATAGAGGCCCATATAATGGATGCAAATCTACTGAGATTGAGTTAGTTTTATTAGTTATTCTGTGGTTTGCTTACGAGCTTAAACTAATGAATTCAAGTATTACAGTAGGAAAGATATGRAAAATCCCTTAATCTAATTGACAAAATGCTTTCCTCTAACTGARGAATTATGTTGCAAAAATGAAGAAAGCAAAACATTTTCATGCAATTGTAGGGAAGAATATAACACTGCATCTTCCAAGTATTTATTTGGAAGTATTTTCCAGCAGGTAATTGCAACACAAAATATACATTGCAATAGATCAATAACTAATGCAAAATTTTGAAGGCTGAAAGACRTATTGCAGCTGTTAAAGCAAAAAATTTTAATTTAAAATACGTTAATATTTAAGTTGTAAAGCTAGTTACAAGAAATTGCATAAGCAACATGAAGACAGTGCTTTAATTTGCATATACTCATGTTCAGTATTTATTTCTAGACGTATGTCTAAAAGCACACAATAATATTATGATACCACAATTTTACATTTTAAAGAAATGCCATGTTGCCTAGTTCTCACAAGCTGATYCTTAAGCTGAATATTTTCATCAAGGTTTCATTGCTGAGTTTTCAGCATTTTCCTTTATTTTGGGGAAACCCATTCAAAGATTCCTTTAATGCTTTAATAACTTTATACAGTCTATATTGAAAATATGAAATATATTTTTAAAAGCACAATTAAAATCAGGACTTTCATTTATTAAAATTCCATAAAGATTTTTAAAAAACAGGAGGCTAGATTCTCAGTAGACTTTAAATTATCATAGCTCTATTTTAATTGAGTTGCAGCATTTCCTCAAATTGAGGATCTAGCCTTTCCAGTAAAACATGAAGATGATACTTGCTATTAGGAATTGAATAATTTGTTCAAATGTGGAACCTCMTTTAGGAGGTAGTCAATTCAGTCCTATGAACAAACCCTTTTTTAATAATGTAGTTTCTTASAATAAAAAGCCATTCCACAAAAGTAGACTGAATAATAGAACCTTTAAACTTCCATACTGAGGTATATTTATATAATTTAACTCTGCCTGTCAGTCTGTCCTTGAAGGAAGAATATGAAATACATCTAAAATAAATTACTTTTCCACCATAGTTGCCTCCAAGCAGATAAGAGTAAACATAAAAAATAAAATCCTTGCTCTAAACATTTAAAAAGAAAAAGCTTCCAAGAATTACAGCCCCATGTGTATGCTATTTCAGAAACTACTARGTTTTAAATATTTTTCCAAGGTTTATTTCAGTATGTATGGTTATGAAAGCTATATGGCTTACATGTAAAACTGGAAAGTTTTAAACCAAACTTGGAGAGTAAATTTTGTTTCATTGTTCTATTCCATTTCTGTAGAAAAATGCTGGAAAATGAGCAAAGAATCCTTTGAATTGGTTTATTTGCATAAGTAGTGCCATGATCAGTTTGGCAAGTTGTTGTTTGGTAATTTTTGCAAGGGAAACATTGTGTGCAGAGAAAAAAAATAATTGTTTATTTTAAACACTAAAATTGAAAAGAAATACTATTTGTATTTCCTTTATTTATAGGTTTGTATATACTATTTGTATTTCCTTTATTTATAGGTTTATCCTAACCTTCCACTAACTTTGGCCTGGGAGCAATGCTTTCAAAAGCGGTTTAGACTTCCCATTCCATACTGTGTAGATACCTCACTCCCACTGAAATAAAAGACTGATTAGCAGGAATCAAATTAGGCTGGATAATTTGTATTGTTATTACCTTTAAATGTTAACCTTTGTCTCATTTAGACAATTCTGAAGAGGAATGAATTGTAAACAACAGAACTTGGGAACAAAGTGAGAAGCAAGGAGCACCCTGTCTGACACTTACCTTGTTGAGTGGTGCATTACTATGAACAGTATGCAAGTGTCTGTATATTCCTCCAAACTTTGACCACTGAAATTTTCTTACTGGGTGAGATCTGAGTACAAGCTTGTCCAAGTGCAGCAGCTACTCCAGGATCACTTGGCAAGATGAGAGAACCCTAAGCAAGCCTAATGATTTGTTAATTTTACTCTTCCTTGAGAGATTTTAATAGCAGAAAATGCAAAATAATGGCTGAAATTGAAGTCTTGAAACCTCACATGGGAACAAAAAAAAAAAAAAATGCACACAATATGTATGAAATCAGAGCGCCACAAAATAAGTTTTGATTTACCAGTAAGGCTAATATTATCTTTAACTTTCTTCATATGCATAACAAGAGTACTTTGGAATTTCACATCTTTGGAGAACTATTTTTTACAATAAATTATGGAAATAAATTTACAAGCTGAGGAATAATTTGCAGTTAAAACAAATATCACAATGGCTCAAATAAATATTTGGAACAGCAGGGAGTGCTGTTTACTTAGTGTTACGTCTTACAACTAATAATGGCTTATTTTTCTTTACTTACACAATTGCACAGTTCCCTTTCTTTGGGTTATTAATTTCTTCAGGCCACAGACCATTCCTGTCCTGTTTGATGGATAAAAATATGATTTCAGACTGAAAGACACAGCCCTATCTGGATCTGACTTCTTGTTCCTACGAACGTATTTCAGAGAGCTAGAAATACAGCTTCGTCTGAGTCTTTGCCACTGTCTTCACTAGGCAGGCAGCCCCCGACGCTCGGAGACCTGCAGCTCAAGTCCTCCACGCCTGACTCCTGATCGCTGTTGACTGAGAGGTCGGGATCAGAGCTTTTCAGGTTGTCCTGTGTCAAAATCAGGGCTGAATCTTCTTCATCTCCTTGTGAAGGGCTTCGTGAGGGGAATGATTTCAGGCCGTCGTTATACTCCTGGGGGGTGTTAGCCAAACTGATGTTGAAAGTAGAGCGCCCTAACTCTTTATGTTGGTCTTGTTGCTTGCTCTTGACTTTATTGTCATTTAATTGCACTTTCTGAAGACTTGCCAATCTCTGAAAAAAACCAAAAACAGCAAAAAAAACCACGCATATTGCAAACATACCAATGTACATTTGTAGCCCATTTCTTCTTTTAGGTGCTGGTGGTGGTATTGTTCTTTTGTTTTGGCCTTATTAACATATATAGCCTTTATAATTACATAGTTGAGTCCAGCTAACTATCATTTTTAAAATTACCTATTTGACTATTAAATGCAGAATGAATCACAGAGGGATATAAAACTTCTTTCAAAAGTACTACTTTTGCACTACAATCAAGGTGATATTTTATTCTTAAAAAGAAAAATATCCACCTTTGTATCTTACAGATGCCAAAGGCAAAACATTTCYAGTATGTGAGAACAAAAGTGATTGATAGCCAGATAACCTCATCAGAGAAAATGATGTAGCACATGGGGGACTGCGTGGTATTTGGAGTTGGGTTTAGTTTAGTTTCAGCTGTGAAGCCAGACTCTTCAAGGTTTTGTTACCTCTCCTAAGACCTCCAGTTCTTCTTCCAGCTGCTGTGTTTCTTCCTTCACGGCCATCAGGTAATCAGTAACTGACTGGCGCGGGTGCAGCCCCTTTTCAAAGCGGTTGTACATCCCGCTCCAGAACCTGCAAGTAGCAGAGGGGGCAGCCGTCATCGTGTGGCTTCAGGAGACTTCAATAAGGGCTACCCTACGCACTTGCCTGCCCTGTTGGCCATCACCGAGTGTGCACAAGTTCTGCAGGTTCACTGAAGTTGGGTAAGATTCACGTTTCCTTTGCACTGGGTCAGTTCTAAAGATTTAAATCTGTGCCCATACCCAGCCTASACCAGTTCTAATATGAAATAGAAAGATCAAAAGATCTTTGTGCTTTTGGCCTAGTCACAAAGTTGTGGGTAGCTCATTGATTCTGCCTTTTAATGATTTGAGACATGAATTTCACAGCTTTATAAAAAAGGTTTTTGTTGTTGTTAATGGCCTGTATGAAACCATTGGTGTTATGTCTTGTTGATAAGCTTAAAACATCAATGGTGCTGTAACTAGTTGTAACTATTGAACCCACACTTGCTGCATCCTTATCTTGGGAGTTTTGCCTATGGTCCAYAGTCAACCTGATTTACTGAAGTGATTGAAAATTTTATTGCTTTTTCTCCCTGTTAGTAAAAGTAGCACTTTCTGTTGAGGCTTGCCAAACAAGACACCTGCCAGTGAAGTTGCCAAACAAGGCTAGCATTCCCCAGCTGCCCAACCTGATTTCAGACAAGTACATAAGTGCGTGCTTCCATCTCTCTGAAATGAACAAAATGCTTCAGGGATACTTTTTAAAGATGCTTTTTTCATTTTCAGGAGAAAAGGTCTCAGACTTTACGTCCATAACTTGCTTGGTTGTCCTGTCTTCTGTTTCCTTCCCAGTACATGGCCAAAACCTCAATTCAGGTATGTCAGTAGCTCCTCAAACTGGTTAAGTAACAGACAGACCTGCCTTAGGGTGCAGCAGTGTAGCCAGGGAGCTGACAGATTTCAGGGGAATGTGTGTGCTCCTTGATGGCTTGTTACTGCTCTTACTACTGCCTTGCCAAGCCTATGCTATTTAAGTCATGTCCCCCCCTTAAGTTTATAATCAGACAGCTCATGCTCGGAAATCCTTACTCATTCAAATAATTCCATTAAAATCGATAGGATTACTCATCCAAGGGAGGTTCTGCAGTACTGTCTTCCATAAATCCCACTGTACTAAGTCATATAATTAATGACTTGTTTTAAAATAGCTTTAAATTAGATATGACCCGGAACAGCAAATGTGGAAGGACTCAATTTTTCCTTTAAGATATTTGTTGCCCTTTAGCAGGTGCTTTGACTTGTAGTAGGAAATCAAACTAACCTATTGTATTGAAATTTTAGTTTTCATGAATTTTTAGTCAAGCTCTGTTTCAATTTGTCAGAATGTTAATATCAATAAAATTGTTAAGTTTTGTTAAACCTTAAAAACATTTAAACGTCAAGAAAAACTTAAACTGAAGTATAATAGCAAGGTAAAGAAAGTACCTGCATTTTGTTTTATTAAACACTAATTTCTTGRAACTCCTGCTTTTACTTTGACATCAATTGATCCATATAGTCATCCTTGARTGGAGAAGTTTAAGCAACTTTAAATTTAGAAGTTACAGATGGGAACAGAACTGAAAGAGCCATTTCTCAGTKAAAGAAGCGAGTGACCTGAAATTAGGACACACAACTATCAATATAGCTTTAATCTTAAGCTTCTTTTAGGTCTAATACTCTGTTGTAGAGTGGTGCAGAGGTGTTGGCTGAGCATTTACAAGCAGGCAGGGAACTGACCTGTTGTGTCTGATCCTAAATTCACCTCTATATAAGCTATATTTTGGAGTTTTGGAAATACTTAACTACAAATACATTATTTATTACATGCTGCCACTTCCAACAGCAAGGGGTATCACCTACTTGTACAAGAAGTTGCACGGAGCTATCTGTGGGCGCAGGGTCCCTTGGGTTTGGCTGTGGTCCGATCTGTACAGAGGGTTCAGGTAATCTGCACGGTTTTTCCACAAGTGAGCCCACAGTGAGTAGGTTCGTTCCTGGRCTCTGAAAAATTACATATAAATAAGATGTGTAGATACCTCTGCTGCAGCTCAGGTATACTTAGAGCTTGGGTGAGATGTTCTCGTGCTCTGTGCTGCTCATTTGCAAACAGCTTTATGCTATCTTAATACAATTATGCTTAGGTGATAAGTAYAGGCAAAAAAGATGGACTGTGGCAGTGAGGCTGCTCTGCACTTKAGCAGTGAGAGGATCCAAATGGCAAGAGCAAACAATAATTATCTCTTTCCTTTTATCACTATTGCTGCCATGATCTGAGAGAGAAAAGCAGATGGTATTGGGACATAACCCAGGAACCAGAGCCCGAGGAAGCAGATAAAAGGAGCAGAGTAAGATGGTTTGTTGTTGATGCTAAGGCCACTTGGCTAAGGATCTAATGCTCCTGTCAGTTTTCAGCAATGCATTGCGGACATGCTATGGGCTGTACTCACAGCTGTGCCACAGCCAGGAGGATCCTCTTTATTTTTTGCATTAATCTCTGTCACCTGAAAGAAGGTGTCTGAGAGCTCTGCACTGCACCTCGTGCGTTACAAAAGCACATCTGTAAAATGGCAAATGGCTCAATCTACTGTAACACCTACACTTAAARCGTGCTCTGAAAGAAAAGGCTCTCGTACTTAAGCTCTCGTCGCTCCTTCTGGCTGTTGCACAGGAAATTACCAAACTGGCAAGAATAGATATGATGTTGTACATGGATCAGGAATCTTTCATTGAATTCAAAGGCACAAGGAAACTGCTCCATTAGCTGCCAAACACACTCGATGAACTGGTCAATCACAGGAGAGATCTCCTTCGGATCACCGTCTAGGTTGCCATACCTAGAACAAGACAAGAAACAGTCAACCATAACCCCTATCTGCTAGGAAAACTGCAGAATGGTAATGAAAAGGAGAAAAAAAAACTTAGTTCAGTGTGCAAGTTACATCCCAGGTATTAATTCTAAAATCTCATTCACTGGCTTATTTTTACTTGAGGAAATTGAGGAAGACTGGAAGTTTTTTATTCATGGAGTAGAACAAAGCCAGAACTTAACAACAGTGAAAACCCTTCTTACAAACACCTTGTTGCTTTGCAGCTAATAACAGCTGGCTGTATAGCTGCATGGCCATGTAGTAATGCTATTTATACAAAGTTATGCTGCAGTGGCAGCGTATGTGACTGTAATGGCTTTAGACGTCTTAGATATTCTTTCAAAGCCAGACCAGTGCTAAAACCCAGAAAACGGAGCAGGAGGAGAACAGAATMATCTTGGCAGAAAACAGTTTAAAGCTGCCCTCTCTTGGTGGAACTTTTTGAAAGTGGGAAATATTTACACTCTATTGCATTTGTCAAGGGAACGTGAAAGTTTCTGTGTATAAAGGAAAGTCTGTTGGAACCACTTGCCATAGGTTACTTCAAAGAACAGGAGCTGGAAATATTAAACACGTAAGTGAAAAATATTCTGTAAGTCTGCCTAATAGTAGGAAACATTTTCACTTGATGGCTCTGCATGTCCAGTACATATATATATGTGTGTATACACAATAAACACATACACATCCAATAAAATATATATATTCTAAAAGAGTGAAAATCCATAAATAACTAAATTTTCCATTTTCTAGTTCTACTAAAATAACTAAATTTTCAATTTCTAATTCTACTATTATTATGCAACAAAGAGCATATAAGAATATTGCAATGGAAACCACAACTATCAATGGTGATTACATTTCATATCTTTCATCACTGATAATCATAGACATCTGTCAGTATCATATTTAATATAGTAATTCTTGCTGGAATTTCACCAGAATTGTAGATCTGCACACACTTCCCAAAAGATAGTGGAGTTTGTTGCATTTGATTTTTCTTTTTGTCAGAACATAAATTTATATTAATATCCAGCAATATGAAGCCTCAGTATAAGCCTGCATTTTTAGGTTTACAATAATGTGAAGGAAGTGAAGGCAATATGGATATATATCCATGCTTATGTATGAAAATCTTAAAATACTTTTATTATGAAGACAGCGTTTATTTTATGGATGCACAAAATAACTTGTCCAAAAACAGTGACTTTTGTTTCCCTTTACCTGAAGTTTCTGAACAAAAGTAACAATTTTCTTTATGAAAGAACATGCTAGGACGAGTGTATTCTAGATAACTCACAGGCACACCTGAAGTTAAATTCTGTCCTGGAAAATGAACACRTTTTTGAACAGCAGCTTTGAATTACAGCCTACAAGAACAGGAAGTTAAGCCATGTACCAGTTTTCTCTCACATGCATCTGTAATGCTAATAGCAAATGTAAGCACTCTGTATCCTCACTGCAAATATAACAAGATAGAAAATATTTCATTTTACTTTTTTTTTCCAGTCAGCTAAATTATATAGTGGGAGAAAAGCCTGTGAAGATACCCTGAGAGCACCACACTGATATGTTTTCAAAGGCAGCAGGTATAGTAAAATTAGAATGACTGCAGACACTGACTACATGAAAAAATTATGCAGAAAAGCCTTAGCACAGCCTTACCTGTGGTTAAATTTGTGACCAAAGGAAACCCAATCTTTTTCAATTAGCACCTAAAATGAGAACATTGCATTCAGTGTTGTGGAGCAGTTGTGAGCTGACACATGTTAGAGCAGGCAAAAGAATGATGTAAGCAAGCAGTATTGGAACCCCACTTAATTTTTAGAGGAAGAAAAGTGAGAGGAAGAATGAGATAGGCAGTATTTGAATCCCCTTTAGAGTAAGTAGAAGATAAATGATCAATGAACACTGCTACCAACACAAGAGAAAGTAGCATTTCTGGTTGCTRCAGACAAGATGTCAGTATTTCATCACAATTGAAACAAGTTGGATTCATCATTTTCTAAGCTAGACTCTAAAAATGTTCCAAAATGTTCTTTTCCAGATGTGAGCATTGCCAGTATTATCATCCCTAGATGTTTTAGTAGAGCTGATACGCTAGCAAAGGGATGCCGCAAAGTTGGCTGCTCACTCCCATCTAACCAGTGGGGAGCACACACTTCTGATACTCAAATCTTTGCTAAGACCTTCAGTTATGGTTTTTGTAAGCAAAGTTTATTTTCTCTTAGAAAGAAAGATACTCATCTTAACATGCCTTTAACTGATGCCATAAGGCTTTTATTTACTCTATAGAACAGCCYGCTTACCATGAATCCCTTCATGGTTCTGTAATACGGATCCAACAGAAGGCTCGCTACGGAGCAAACCTGGGCTGTCCTATCCCAGCCATCAGAGCAGTGAACAAGCACACTCACACCTTCCTCAGCCACAGCCTGAGAACACAGAAAGGCAGAGAGGTATCACAGGCAGGGGGAAAGGCCAAGGGGAAAGAGAGCAAAAAGCGAGAGCAGCACGTAGGGTAATAAGCTGAGCTAAGAATTGTGAAATTTTTTTTTTTTAATTTTTTGCTGTAGGCTTCCTGAGTGATCCTGAGCATTATTTATTCTCGTTTGCAAGGGTGACTCTCATGCATTCCTATGCAATGTGGTGGTGGCCTCATCACCCTTTTACACTYGAGGGCAGAATCGCAGACTCTCAGAACAGTTGGGGTTGGATGGCACCTCTGGAGATTATCTCATCTAACCCCTCTCTCAAGCAGAGTCTTCTAGACCAGAATTATACCTGCATGGAATAATTAAATATCCCTTCTCTTATGAATATAGCATATATTCATTGTTTTGTAGAACTTGCTTAGAAAATCTCATTTGTAAAGKGGGATGGTCATACTCCCCTATTGCTTAGATACACTAACAGTATAAACATATTGAAAAATGTTAGGTGCTTAGCTCTTGTGGAACCTGAAAGCAAATCCATTCYCAAAATATACTGATAGAATCATCAGGAAAATAGCTATAACAATTATCATTTTAAGTAGTCTACTGTATACATGGGGATCCAGACCATGCAACTCTGAGAGTCATTAAAGTCCGTTTTGTATCACTGCCAGAAYGAGTGGCTACATAAAGCAGATTCAGATACATCCACATGCTCTGACCCGTATACCAGCAACAGAGAGCACCCCTGCATAGTGCTTTCAGTTTCCCACATTGATGGAAATGTGAGGAGCCTGTTTCTGATGCCAGAGCTAGCTTGGATGTTGCTACGCTGCCCTTCACTCGCTGGCCTCTAAAGAAGATGTACCTGGAAATACTGGAGGGGAAACCTGTGCTCTGTAACTAAGAAGCGAGATCTTTAAGTAAAATTTTAATGTAAATGACTGTGAAGGGAGGAGGATCCCTTTTATATGCAATCAAAGAAGGGACGGTTCTTAACTGAGTTCTCCAACATCTGCATTATTTTTGGAACTTGAGGGTTTTAGATTTTTCTTTTTTTTTTTAAACATAGTATTTTTGCCCTGTGTCATTTCCAAAGGAGAATTTAAAAAGAGGAGGAAAAAACTAGGTTAGGAAAGACACTGCTTAGAAAAATAAGCACTTAGGTTAAGTTTGGGCTTAAAAAGGAACAGGGAGTAATAATAAGATATTTATGTTTGTCTCAAGAGAGAAGTAAATTTTTACCAAAATAGAACCCTTGTGGCAAAAGACCAATAGTAGAGAACTGAAAGTTGTACAAATAAGAACGGGTCAAAATGAATGTGACATATGGACAAAAAGAATAGCTATTTTGGGACATTATTTTAAGACTAGTACTAGAGGAAAGTTGGCAAGAGCTAGGTCTGAATGACTTGAATCCTGTAAGCTAATGAAATCTAAGAGAGATAGGAGAAATATTAGTGGGTATTTAGCCTGCTGTAGGTTTTCCGATAAGAAACTGCAGTTGCCTGCTAAGTAGGAAGAAGCAAAGCAAGAAAGCAACACAACCCAGTTACTGAGAAGGGAATGTGTAGCAGGTCATGTGAATAAAATTGTAATAATAATCTTAAAAATAAGAACTGAGTCACTGAACTTCCAGGTTAAAGGAAGGGGCTTCTAAAATTAAAATCACTGATAGCAGATAATAAATATCTACATTATTAGGAGAGAGAATTTCATATCAGACCCAACTACACTTTTCTGAAACATTTATCAAGGATGTAGGAGTAGAAGCTGCCCTAGATTTTGGAACTGGTTTAGGAAGTGAAGTTAGCGGAGTGACTAAACAACCCAGGTGATAACCCTATAGCTAATATTCCTGTGTTACAACTGTCACCTGAAGAAGTAATTCTAAAACAGTAATGTTCAGCAAAGGGAACAGCCAAACAACCATGGAGGTGAGGGAAACAAGGACAGAAACACTGATAACTGCTGCAGGGGAGTAAAGCAGGAACATTYAAGACATAACAAAACATAGCTTTAGTAAATTTAGGGTCTTCAGTGAAAAAAAAAAAAAAGAAAAAATCCCACAATTTTTAAAAATTTATTAGCAAAATGTCCACATGGCAACAAGAGATCCTAATGTATAATACCTTACAGGTCAGGATTTTTTTCTGATCTAACTTCATTCAAGATAACTGAAGCTACCCACAAGGAGAGAATCTGGTCCTCACTTCCTGCATCTGGTTAGTCCAAGTTTTGTTTCTCATTTGATGTTCTTTACCTTTGCAATAAAGATGCCAGCGTCCATAATGGCTTTGATGTGCTTCAGCCAGCCAGAGTTCTCTAGGCCCCACAGAAAGTCACTCATAGAAGGCGACTTCAGCTCACAAACTGTAAAATAAGCTGCATGTTAAAAGCACAGTAATTTAAACTTACGTTTAAAGCAGAGTTATCTGTTAGCTCATCCACCCTCTCCTCTTTAAGGACACTCTCTTAAAGATACTAATCTCATACTAAGCTCTTTCAAGAAATACAATGAAATTTTCATCTTTTTTCCTGAACACTCATGCATTACAATACTACTGTATTTCCTGAACTCATTTGTGAATTAATAATGTCTCAGTAAGACTCTCATCTTCTGGAAAAAGGCTGATTTTTTTTTTTTTTTTTTTTTTTGGGGGGGGATCCGTTTTGGCCAGTGGCAAAACTTCCATTTCCTTCAATACGACCAGAACATACTTTTATGAGCCCAATTTGGAGCTCATACTACAGCTGAATATATCTAACGGTCTTGATTCCTCTTAATTCAGAGACAAAATAGCCCAATGTGTCCATATAAAATCTTGCAGTCTTGGTACAGAGGGCCTCTTCCAGATGTTTGCTTTTTGAAAGATATTTTTAAAAACGCAGATAGCAGCAGTGGGAGCAAACAGCCTCTCACATGATTAATGCTCCTGGGCAGATGGCAGCACGGCCAATTAGTAGCCGGATTCCAGCTGAAGCTGCCGTCTCTGTTTACGAAAGTCCAAGGTAAAGTTGAAACAGTGCTTTGCTCATTCCCACTCCCAAATGCGAATCAATATTTACCCACCACTTCACTGAGCAAAGTCCAGGCTGTCCTAAATGAAAGGCACACACCAGACATTTCAGAGGACTTCGCCTACCCATCGGGACCTTAGTGCTGAGTTTAGTTCTGACTTCCCAAGCGAAGGGAAAAACCCCTTCCCTGTCAGCCCAACATCATGGAGAAGCCCATTTGGGCTCACCCCAATGCAGCTGCTAAAACAGCAGGGCCAGTCAGCACCTGCACTCGCCTCTGCACTGAGAACAGTCCCTGGGCAGCCTCTCCTGACAAGAACAAATATTATTCTGAGGACTCTGTGCACAAGATCAAAATTAATTGCAAGTATCATTATATCCAGCTTTTTTTTTTTTTTTTTAATGCAAATTCAGTATTCTTCTAAGAGCAGTACGAAGCAGCAGGGACATCTGTCAAATGGTTTCTTTTCCAAAGGAAATTCCAGCACTGTGAAACATACTTTTGTTCCAGGATAAAGTGAAATATCACTTCTTTTTTGGAGAACACAAATTCTGAGAAAAATACTATCCATCATCCTATAGATTTAGTCATTTCATAATGCTTATAGATAATATTAAATGACAGTAAATACATATTAGTGCTAATATAAGTAAAACTCTCAAAATAAAAATTAGTAAAATTATAAAGTTGAAATCAAATCTTTTTAGTTAAGAAATTCTTGACATTATTATGAATATAATTTAATTCAATGAAGAAATTTCACATGAAGAAATTTCACTGAAATCARTACATTCCTAATAAAAGTGGAAATGGAGAATTTTCCCATGGAAAACYGTATAATCAATTTTTTTTTGAAGTTTCGTTAGTGCTGGAAGCTTTTTAAGACTGCRTACTGAACACAAGCTGCAGTTTTCCATATGAAATATATATATTTCCCTTGACCCGCTCATCTGCCTAATTCCAAAAAAAACAAAAGACCTTTGCTATACTTCTGTTACAAGTCAAGCCTATTATGGCCTTTGATCTTCTCCATGCAATATGCTTCACAGTGGCAATTAACACATTATAAGTGATTTTAATTTAAAATGGGGCTGATTATAAATGATTTTAATCAGCCCCATTTMTCTCTTTAAAGATTGTGTGCCCAATAATACCTCACAACATATTAAGTCAACAAACATGTTTTGCAATGTTTGTAGTTTAATATTTTATGTTAGAGATTCATCYAGATATATTTAAATAGCCCTCAAAGTAAACTTAAAGGTGTATTATATGTGTATTACTAACATCTTCTGCAGATCTTTTGATTCTGGTACCCTTAGTGTGTACAGGTCAGGCAATGTGTAATTTTAAAGGTCACAGAAGMAGCAGCTAAAGGGACACTTCTATCAACTGGAAAATAGAAAACCTGTGTGGTATCTTACACAAGGAAAAGCCCGCTCATAAACTGGAATCCATAAGATGCAATTTGATGTTTGAAATCACAGACTTCACTTCTCTGATCCTAATCTTATCAGTCAGGTTTCTACATAGGTGATTTCAACACAGTAAATATAAAACCTATGAAARAATAGGCTTTTTCAAGTCTGTGGTTCGTTTAAAAATGGATGCAAAAATGTTCTGTTCCCAAGCAGCATGAAGTTTTAACAACATTAGAAATTATCTTGTTACATACCATTTTGGGTATGGGCCCATCTGATGAACTTTTGGCTCTAAAATAGTACATGGCACTGTCCCGTGCCACCAGGGGGGTTGTTTACTATCCTAACTTTAATGGACTCCAACTAAACAAATAGCAGGACAGGTTTATTCAGCTGTCTTCCYGTCTGGCCAAATGAGATTTTGTAGTTAATTAAAAAATCTCTTACTTTTCCAGTTCAAGATCCCTTCGATCAAGGAGTTAAGCTCAAGAAGATACCTTCAACATGCTGAAGGATGTTGAGTTGATCTCAAGTGCCAAGTAGYGTTACGTGCACATGTATCGGTCATGAGCAGAGCCCTTCTGCACAAGTTGAGCATGTTTACCAATCCCAGGCCACAAATGCCTCCCCAGACAATCTTGGAAATGTTGGTGGCCAAGGATGACAGGAGAAGGTGCCTGTCTTCCCCTTGGTTATTCCCCTCGAAGTATCTCAACAGAGAAGCTGGACCTCATGGAAAGGTCCGGCTTTCCATGGCAGCATTCCTCAAAGGCATCCGGCCCTGGCAGCTCCTCTGTGCAGGGCAGGAGCAGCCGTGGTTGACCCGTGTCACCACAGCTAGATCACGCTGATCCAACAGGTGAACGAATTGGTTTTGTGTCTTCTGCTGATGAGACACGTGGAGTAAACACTGGGGCTCTGGGGATTACTTTTTACTGTTTGCTTGTTAAAACAAAACAACAAATTTTGGGTCAAGGATTTATTCTTCCCCCTTTCCCAGAAGGCCTCTAAACAATAATGTAATCCAAATACTAAGTGGCAGTTCAGATGTGCTAGCTTATACACTGCTCAGTATTTATAAAATAATCACTACTTCTGTTCAGAAACTAGGAATGGTTACACCCACTGACTGAGTTCTGCAGATACACTTGAAGTGCCATGTGTATATATGCTCTATACAGAGCATATGTAGATTTCTATTAAAATTTACGGGCTAAAATGCTGAGTTATTTACTGACCAAGTAAGAAAAATCATCAGAGTTTTAAAAAATATCCTGTATTTTACTACTGTAAGAGTCATATAAGTCATAAGGCTTTTTGGGGGTTTGTTTGTTTTTGTTTTTCCATGATACCATCAAGCTGTAAGCCACGAATGAAAAAGGAGGAGAAAAGAAGCAGTAGTAAGGTATAGAGAGCTCTTAATATGTCTACCATTAAAGTAAATGGTATCTGGGTTTCATGAGTGAAACAAGGTGTTTGTGCAGTCAGGAGAACATCACGTTTTGCAGCAATGGTCCATTGCACAAGTTCCATTAGCCAGAAGCAGCAGGGAGACACAAGTTCTGCTTTCATATCAGTTTTCAGCATTGCTGTTTTCAGAGAAGTTACTCTGATTTGTATGAGAATCAAGTCTTTTCTCTATTTTCTAGTAAAAATAAAACCTCACCTTCAAGCATTTTTTGCAGACTGCTTCTCATGACGTGGATGTTCTCAATGCCTATGAACTGAAACTTGATGTTAGAATAGTTGTCTTCATTTTCATATCCCTTTCCCGCTGCTCTGTTTGCCATTGCATTGAGCTGAAAAATCAGAAAAGCGAGGTGAAAAACAACAGCAAACAGGCTCACATCAAAATAAAGCTCATGGTCTACAGCAGCAAAGCAAAGTGATTGAAATTGAGTATAAATAGGAAGCGTTTATCACAGTGTCAACAAAACGAACAGCAATGGGGGCTCTGTTTGCAGCACGTGGCAGTACAGCGGGTTGCTCAGGCTCTGGCCTCAGTGTCACCCACTTTGTCACCAGCTTTACCAGTGAAGATGGACACTGCACAGTYTAAATAGGGCTCTTCCATAGGCTCTGCTGCAAGAACATGAAGGTTATTTGTTRTTAATCTCATTTTGTTTTTCATGAGCGTTGCCTTTACTAACAGAACACATCCAGAAGATGGCAGTGTCCTATCTGCCATGCCCCTGGCTTTGTAATGTATTTACATTGTTCGTCCTTCCCCAAATTAGGTGTCTGACTGCTGAAATTATCACAAGGTGGATCTGGCACACTTCTTTGAAGCTTGCAGTAATGTCACAGCAGTGTCTCCCTAGCTCGGCAACAGCTCAGCTCCACYTGCATAAGACAGCAAAAGATCTGAGCTGACTAAATGACCACAAATATTTTCATCTGTAGTGCAGCCCTATGAAATATTTCACTGTGCTTCAGCAGAAAAATACACTGAGCTGGAAGCAGGGATTTTGCCTTTGAGTCCTCATATGCTTCCCGTGCTGGGAAAGTGCCTAACTGCTGCCTCACCTCAGTTCTCTGGAGTGAGAAGTTCAGGGATTCTTATGTTTCTTTCCTCCTTGAGGGAATTTTGGAGGAAAAGCAAATGAACTGCCAAGCATGCTAGACCCGATTCTGGTCTCCAGACTAAAAGCCAAAGCTGATATAAATCCCAAGAATAACCTTTATCACCCTATCTTTTTTCTTTTTTTTCCTCCCCCCTCTAAAGCAGAATCTCACTGTCCAGTAGTCCAGAAGAATTGTCTTTTTGAATAAAGTAGCTGCTTGTATGTGAAACTCTCTAACTTCAAAATAATTACCACGGCTYCAGATGTAGTTAAAAAGTCTACTTTACAGAACTTCTGTGCCTCCAGGCACAGCAAACAGCATCTGCTCAGGAAAGATCTAAGACTAAAACAACAGTGAATATTGCACTCCTGGATTGAAGTGCACTAGTAGATTTTGGTGAGACCCTTTGAGGCATCCATTGGACAAAAAATGCCTGGTCCTCATTGCAATTATAAGGAACTTTTATGAAAAATAAAAAGGAGCTCTCTTTTACATCTTCTCTAGGAGATAAGAGACAAGGGAAAAATTATTTCCAGTTTACTGCTGATTTGCGTCTTCATTGGTCACTTCTGAAATCCACAATAATATACGTCCATGCACAAGTAACGGTGSCATGGTGCATACAGGCTTTTGCTATCTCCACCCCAAGCACACAAGTCTCACCATTAAATTTTAATTTGGAAGTGTAGGATTTTCTTCTGCCAAGGCATCTTCAACTAAGATAYTCAAGGAGTCTGGCTTTTTTATATGACGAGTCAAAATTCTCTTCGGGAGAAGAGAAGGCTGAGAGGGGATCTGATTAATGTCTGTAAGTTCAGGAAGGGAGAATGCAGGGAGGAAGGGGACAGGCTGTTTTCACTGGTGGCCAGCGACAGGACGAGGGGTAATGGCCACAAGCTGGAGCACAGGAAGTTCTGTCTCCAGGTGAGGAGCAACTTCTTTACTGTGAGGGTGACAGAGCAGTGGAACAGGCTGCCCAGGGAGGTTGTGGAGTCTCCTTCTCTGGAGGTCTTCAAAACCCGCCTGGATGCCGCCCTGTGCCACATGCTGCAGGTGTGCTTGAGCAGGGAGGTTGGACTAGATGATCTGTAGAGGTCCCTTCCAACCTTGAATATTCTGTGTTTCTGTGAAAATGAGTTGATGTGGATCAAATTTGAGCTCTTTGCTTTAAGAGGGAAAAGCTAAAGAGAATAGACTTTTGCACCATTATAATTTACTTTTAGGGGCACAGTGAAACAGATGAGATTGCTTTTTAATTCTTATTTTCTGTCCCCTTTTGAAATGCAAAAATAGTCTTTTTATTTATCTTCATAGTGTTTTTCTGAATCATCCATTGCTGTGAGTTCAATTTAGCAATAGAAATGCTTAGCTGCAGTTGTGGACCATGGTTACTAGCTGCAGCACTGCATGAATTTCATGGTACAAGAGAAGGAACTTTTTTTAATTCACTCAGAGCCTGCATAGAACTGCTCTTAACTTGTAGTATGCAGTTAAGGAAAATGTGCAGGCAGAAAATTTTCCAGKCAACCAACTGTCTACTAATCTTTGGTGATCACTGAACAATAAAAAAGTTATTGCCTGTGAACAGCATGTTCTTTAAGAAGTCTCAGAGAGTTCTCAGTATGACTTGCTAGGAGAATATAAGTTATCTGTTGAATTCTGCTCTTTCTCTTTTGAAGTAGGTGTCAGTGTTCTAATATAAACAAAATGAAGCAGTGTGTCTATACTAACAGAGCTTTGGGGAAGAAAAATAATTCTGTGTGCATATTTCTAAGTTACCACCAAATCCTGAAAGCTTAAATGAAAATAATCTAGCCTTAACTGACTTAACATCAATACTGTAATGCTAAAACTTCCTCTGTAACCCAATAATTTTATGATAGTAATCCTTCTTTATTAAAAGCTAATACAACATAGCTCTCTAAAAATAATAGGCTAAATTTGCAAGGCTTTCTGACACTCAGTTATTTTAAGTATTATCAATTGCCAAACTTTGCAGCTGCCACAATATTTACTAACAAGTTTTCCACATCACTATCAAATTCCATCTGTTAAAGTAGTTGTCCTAAATCTCCTAAAATTGTGCCTGTCCTAGCTTAATCTCAGCAGAGATGAGAGTACAATCTCTAGGGGAACAAACCTCACTAGACTTTTCATGCAGCCTTCGTTAGTGTGGAGGAGAACTCAGTAGTTTCTTTCTGTAGAGTTATAGAAATAATTTGCTTTTCTCATATGCAGCAAGTAAGTTGACATTAGCTTCTTCTGTAAACACACAGAGTAAGGAGCAAATGGAGAAAGACTGTTGGCAAAGTAAAAGCTCTGCATATGCTCATTCTGGTATATTTAAATGAAGTGGAATCAAAGCTTAGCTTCACAACCGAGTCCTTTGCACTGAAGATTGTCAAGCACGACATGGATAGAATACAAAAAGCATTTGGGAATGTAGAATTGAAGGTGCCATTAATAATCATAATTTTTGAAAAAAAAAACTGTTCTGATGAGAGAAGAGGCATAAAGGTTTGAACATCCAAGAGCAAGAGACAACCTTKTACTAGCTCAATACCTTACCTTTAAGGCCTCCTGAGGAATGCCATAGCAGCATGCACCAAAACATACCACTTCCTACATGCTCTGGATTTATACATTCATTTATACTGCATAGGAACAGCAGCGAGGCTGTATCTTGGCACCTAGATTCATAGGAGCTTTGGCAAGTTGGGCCATTCTCATAGTGCAGGCACAATTAAGTAGGATCTGGGTTTACAGACTTCTTCACATCAAAACAGGTTTGGGAAGTCTTTATTAGCTTCYAACCTTCTTGAGATCTTTATTGAGTACTTTTATTTTTCTAAAGCTTTTATTTTGGCCAAAGACTTTAGCCAACTGTTTAGTCAGCAGTCGCTATTTACCATGTTTCAGAATCTGCCTCAAAATCACAAAAATGCTAGACAAATGCAAAGAAAAATCCTCCTGAATTTTTGAAACTGAAWAAATGTATTTTCCTTAGCCCTTGCTGGGAAGACTTTAGAACAAGAACATAGAGGTTTGCAGCATTACAAACAACAGAAAATACAGTTTGTAACATGAATTTATTTTTCACTGGCCTTGTCAGGAATGTAGTTACTGTTGGCTCGTGTATGTGTGTGTAAGTGTATGTGTGTGGAGCATTCTCTAACATTCTCTAATCTAACAGTTACTACTCTCAGCTATTTATTTTTTTGTATCAGCATGTTAAGAACAAAAGAGAAGGGCTCAACATAAAGAAAAAAATATTTAAGAAATGAAACATAGGCAAGCTTCCTAGTTAAGAGTCCTCTGGTAAATCCACATTTATATTTACTCACAAACAACCAAGACCACAATTATCACTGTTATTTGGGTTATGAATCTTCSCTAGTATATTCAGCCCACATTCAGTCTTACTGAGTATGTGCAAGGAATTTAATGTACTCACTTTGGGCCGAGTGTCAACAACATATAAGAAATCACTTCCTGGATTTGCTTTCCTAATGGCCTGGAGCATCTGTTCATCTTCAAGGCATCGAGCACTGAAGCCAGATAAAGGTTGGCTGCTCCTACATATGGAGGCCTGTGAAAGAATAGACAAAAATCAACATAATTACTAAGCAAAAATGACTTAGCATCCCAAAACATTTCAATGAACAGCTCATTTAGCTCTTCACTGTAGGTACAGAGTTACATGGGAAGAGCAAAGTGATAAAAACTCATTACATACTAATAAACATGAATGGTTTTTGGAAAGGCAAGAAAATATTTACACACTGAAACACCAGCGACTCAGGCCTAGTATTGAATCCAGACTATAAAGCTATTTTAGAACAGCATGCTTCCCTGACATGAGGTAACTGCTGGTTATGGGCAACAAGAACAGCACCAGCGTCACAGGGGCCCATCAGCGCGGCGAGCGTCCGGAGCCTCCGCGCTGCCGCCGACTGGATGGCCCCGCACAGGAGCTGCATCCACGTGCACTGCTCTGTCCCTTGGGAAGTCCTGGCCACCCCCAGCACTGCTGGGAAAGCCCTCGCCGTGCAGCTGCTTGTCTGGGGTGAAACAGGAGGAGATATCGCACATGCAGATCCCTCGAGAGCGCTCACGGGACGTGGCTGTAACTGGCAATAAGAGCTGTGCTAAGCCAGGCCCTAGAGGCCCAGGAGGCCAATGTGAGGCATGCAGAGCAYGGGATCCCGCCATCCAAACATTCCTTTAGCTCTGCTACCAGAAACAGAAGAGCCAATAGCCTAGGTGCAGRAGCTGAGTTTAAGTTACTACATTCAATACCCATCAATGAACCAACCGCAAGTCCAATATGTGCCCACTGACAATATGTTCAAACCACACTAGCCACCTTTTAAGAAAATCTTAACTAAGCACTGATTTTTAATAAATACTTACTAGAAGAATTAAGAAACTTGGACCAAAACAAGCAAACACTCCAAAGCTACAAATTCACACTTACATTGTTATCCTTGTAATAGTAAGAAAGAGCTGGGAAACGTCTTCGGCTCCGAAATTTAGAGCTCCCCACTATGATGTGTGCAGTTGCGGATTTTGGTACATACACTTCTGTAGGATACGAGTCACAGACCTGCAAAAGGAAGCTCTGTTCACATGGGCTACAAAATGCAGCTAGTATTAGCCATCTTCTCTGCAAAACCAAAATASTCCCCCAAAAACTCTAATCTTAGGAAATGTTCCTTAATCCTTGTATAAACCGCAGACTGTTTTTTACATCCATCTCCCGAAGTGGACAGATATTCCCACTACGTATTCCCATGTTAAACAGATGACAAAACTGAAGCAGAAAGATTGAAGGGCTATATATTTCCCCATGCTAAAGAATGTCAAATGCCTCATTGAGAACGTGCATGTAGTGACCAGAGTCAGGCTTATGTTGTAATACAGGGTTTACAACAGCTTTTACAACAGCTGCTTCCTTAATAGCACAATTTGGAAGTAAACATGAGAATGGGTGAGGTTCCTCGACATCCCTRTTATAATGAGGACACTGTAGAACGAGTGAATCTGGGGCAAATAATGGAAAAAACAATAGCAACTTGARGAAAATAAATTTATCAATATGAAACGGAGATACTGACAGCAATGCCGACCAGTTCCCAAAGGAACCCAGTGAGGGAGACAGAACTGCCCAGAAGTTTTCCTGGAGACATGGGAACACAAGTGTGATCCCTATCAAATTCATTTCTCCTGGTCCTGTCAGGGGCATCCTGGCTGTGTCCAGCATCTCCCTGGCACTTCATGAGACAAAGGAATTTGGAATCAGAAGAAGAAATTCCATTCTGAGAAAGCTGAAGATATGTAATAGAGGAAAGAAAAGACAGGCCTTGTGGTTAAAGAGGCCACTGTGGTAAACTTCATTCTATTCATGTGTCATTTTTCCCGCACTTCATCATAGCAGAGGTCAATCGTTTTCTTTCCGCTGGTTTTAACAAAATGAAAACAAACCCTGACAGCATATTCAGTCTCCKCTGAGAACTTCCCTGGTGTTCCTTAGCATGGACACGTTCCAGCGACAGGCCCAGGGAAGCACGTGGACAAGCTCCCTTCAGAAAACATTTTGGTTATTATTTCTCACAAGTAATTAACGTTCTAGGGACTGCAACCGTGCAGAACTGATTTCTGCATGCACAGCGTATGCGTGARCAGCACGGAGCACAAAGGCATCCTCTGTCTAAGCACAAGGGCAGGCCCCAGTCACACTGGTTCACTTTACACTCTCTGCAAGAGAAAAATCACAGCAACTCACTCCATAGTCTCTGTTTACATCGCTGATCTGCCAGTAATTGTTAGGGATGCCCATGCGGTTATATTCTGCACTGAGGTCCACAAGCTTCCAGCCTCGTTCTCGTTCTTCTTTATCTAATTTTGGGTTGAAGGAGAAACAATATAGCTCCTCATATTTTACTGAAAGAAAAGAAAACAGAACAGTAAGCTTGAAATTGCAGTTCCTGTTGCTACTCAGGATATTTGTATGTCACAAGGGCATGTTTCATCGTACTTATGAAGCTTCTTATGACTTTCACACCAACAGATTTCCAACCTTATAAATAATCTAGATTGTAGACTCTGTCCTCTCTCACTTCATAGTTCCCCACTGATACAGGAGTTTCATAATATAATTGAAATAGTAAATATTTAAGTTTATTTTCTAATATAATGTGCTTACTAAACAGACTTTTAGAATTCTACACAAATTATACATACTAAATCAATAACAGCTACAATAATAATAATTAGGAAGAAGACTTCCATCTTGTATAGGAAGCCTTCACTCTTATTTTGAATTATGCATTTTTAAGGTGTATTTTAAGATATATTTTGCAGTTAAACGAATCCTGTATGCAATATGAAAAATAAAATAGGAGCATAAAGGAACAAAACTTTTTGTTAAGTCTCCCAGCAAAGTAAGGAAGGCCAGCAAAGTCATTACTGAAGGGAAAGGAGTAAGAGAGGAATACATTTCACATGTTGTTTGACAGCTTGAACTCCTCCTGTATTCTGTGCTTTCGAAATTCTCTCATGGTGTAGCTTAGGAAGAGAGTCTGATTTATTTTTCACTTGCTAACAAAGTCTGAACATAATCCATAAATCCAATCTGAGCACATTTTAATGAGGTAGCACYCATTTTTTATGTCTCTGTGCCAAAACCATCTGGGTTTTCTCTGCAGCTGGGCACACACACTGAAGTAGTGGGAAGCTCTCAGAAAATGCAGTTACTCCAAAATACCCAGGTTAATTACAACTAAACTCTTACTCAACATCACAGATACGGTATCTATACGTTATAGTATCTATAGATGGTAACAGAGTTGTTCAAGTACAATAGTCAGTGCCTTAAAGCTCAGTTATCAGCTATCTTCTGCTATGCTGCCATAATCTTTCACAGCTATTTTGCTATAAATATATGCAGTTCTGATGCTAGACCCATAAAAAATGTTCTGGTCAGCCTGCTTCCCAGGCTGCCTAAGCAAAAATGCTAAATTCTGCTGCCAGCTTCACCTGTATCAAATGCTATTAACAGCTAGAAAGGATAGTATCGAGTATAGATTTGCTCCYTCAGTGCAACTGGGCCATGTCACAACATAGAATATATTAAGCAGGTACATGGGATCACTGAGGTTCAGCCAAGGTGAAATGAATGAGAACAGGCAGAGAATGGATAACAGAGCCAGCATCAGTCAAAACTTCTCCTCAGGGAGGCRAAGACACCTCATAATTCTCAGTAACTTTACTACAGCTTTACATAGCAGAGCGCTGTCAGCACACATTTTGCTCAGCCTGCAGTCAGGACCTTCTTTCAGCTGTAGCCCAGCAAGGTTTTATCATTCCTCAACAAAGACTAGATGTTTTGCTGGAAAAGGGACTGTACTGTGCAAGGAGCTGATGCAAAGCGCAACTGCTGCCTCTTCTTCATTTGAGTGGTCTTGTCCTTTGCTGTCTGCCACTGAGCTTTTKTTTGTGGTCTGTCACTGTTCTTCTCTTTGGCATTTTATATCACATTTATATCAAAAGCCACTTCTGTGTGGCCCAAGCACAGCCATACTCACACATCTTCCTTGCTCCAAGACAGAAGCATTAAAGAACCACATTTTTTTTCCAGCCTACATGAACACATGTTTGCAGCTGCAGCCCAGGGAATTAATCCAGATTCACACTGGCAGAACCAAGGCTAACTTGTCTCGTTGTTTCTAAATTTCTCTGAATGCATCACCTAGCAAATCAAATTACACGTGCTGCACTGTACTTATTACTGTTCCYGCTATCCTAATTATAGAAGGCATTTTACATAGCTCAGTAACTGTGCTGCCTAACAATGCAGCTTTCCCCTTCTACTAGCAGCTAAAACTGGTATTCTTGCAAGATTAAAATTAATGCCAGTGTTATTGGATTTGTACAGACTGTGGTAAACGTGCTCTTTGCATACTGTTAAAATAGTAGTAAAGGACAAAAGTTGGTGCTTCTTTGCTCCAGCAGGAATATGAACACATACAAACAGAGACCCTTCTGTATATTTCTGAATTCGTATTTACACAGACATCAAATAACATAATATATTCAATGGTACATGCTCTAGAGTATGTTTTAAACAAACTTTCATGCTGTACTCAATGGAATGAGCTATTATAAGGCATATATATGTTACAAACTCTCTTCATTCTGTTTTATTCATTGTGCCATAAAGAATTACTTTAACATTCCCTCCTGCTCAAAGACCTTTGTTCTTATAATATATCTCCAATTCTGCTTAAAAGGTAAAGGATGAAGACGGCTTCCCCACAGCTGCATTTCTTTCACTGTATTCTCTCTCCTTAGGATAAGGATTGACCCTTTGGCCTTGCCTCCTGCCCATACCTGGTCGTGCTAGACGTATTAGGGAGATGTAAACGTCGTGGCAATCTCGCTCCTGAGGGATGACCAGCTGGATGACCTGGAAGTTCTTGCAGCGGATCAGCAAGGGGCAGCCGGTGGCGGTCGTGGCGTGCTTCTCAATGGAGGAAATCTGGCTGTGAAGAACCTGAAAAGGAATTGAAAGGGGTTATGCTAACTAATTTCTCTCTTTAATAGTGAAAATTGATTAATTGCTTAATTATTTATAATGGTCTACCAGGGCTGATACAATAGCTTCACCTGCTGTTTCACAAAATCCTCCCATACCTCTTATAGGTCTGTTACCATCTCCAGTGTTAGGCTCAAGAGGTGCCTGATACAAATTCTACGCACAAAGAAGCATTTCTGGAGCATTTCAGCTGTTCAAATATTAGCCAAGTCTCACATTATCCAACTGTTTTTTTTTTTTTTTTTTTTTTAACAGTAAGCTAATGGCTGTCTGAGAAAGAGCTCCTTTCATCCGTCTCTCGGTGAAAAGACGAAACAGCATCAATTACATAAAATTGTTCACAAAGTCTCCAGGCTAAAATACTGTGCCTCCTCATTGGCTTAATAGTAGTACTGATAGAATTGCAAACATTGCTTCAAATGAGATAAAACATTATATAAAAAATCAAGCAGGAAACAGTGAGACCAAGAGAAGACAGAAGTTAGCAATTTGTGCAAAACTGACAGAGGATTCACAAGTAAGAGTCACAAGCAGGATTATTCTGGAGCTGTCCCTATATTTGTGTACAGCGTCTGAGGTAGACATGCCCTGGGATAAATCCACCAGAATAATAACTCCAACTATGCGCACGTGAAGAAATCAGTGCAGCAGCCCAGGCGGTGGTGCAGAGGGGCAGGAGCTGCCTAGCTCTGGGTAGCAGTTCACAGCTAGAGCAGCTCAGCAGCTCTCCTCACTTCTCCCACAGCAAGCAAGCTGCGCTGTGGTTGACAACAGCAGCTCCTCAGCAACTCACAGCTCCTCTCCTGATGGTGGTTGTCCTTGCAGTCCTCTTACTATGTTGCCAAGTCCAGAATCCAGGAAGGATTTTCAAAATTTATCAAGCTGCAAAGGCCTTCAACTGGAATTTCACATTTGCTGAAACTGTATAAACTAATTCATCATATTTCAACTCTTTTGCAAATTATTTTCAGGTTACTATGGATTAAGTTTCTTGCACTTACAGCTAGTCGGGGGGGGGGAACCCTTACCCATGTTTCTTTACGAGTTTCAGAAGCATTTTCCACAAATATGACATGAGTAGCTGTTAAATACAAGGTGCCCAGGGTGGCTTTTCTGGAAGATACACGATCAAGTAACCGAACATTTTCCACCTGAACAAAGAGATAACAGAGGGGAAAAAAAATTAGCTGCGTCATAATCTAACACAGTGAGATCTCAACATCCACATTTTGTCTATTACAAAGTCAAACAATTAATGCTAAGATAAACACTTACCACCTAAGAAATGCAAAAATATATGAGGTTAATCTGCTTTGATAAGCCACAGAACATAGATATGATCACAGGATAGYGGAGATCAGAGGGGACTTTTTGGAAGTCTCTCATCCAACCTCCTGCTCGAGCAGAACCAGCTCTGAGACTGGACCAGGTTGCTGGACTGTCCTCATCRTGGAAAAGCTTCTCCTTACATCCAAGGATAAAAAAAACAGATCACAAGCTGGAATAATTCCACCGAAAAACCACTGAATCCATTAGTGATATATGTAATAGTTATTTTTGTGGTCTGGAGGCCCATAAAACATTTTTATACTGATTCTTAAAATGGGAAGAGCTGGTTCAGATACTTGCTTTCCCCTTAAACATGTTCCCACTGCTCTCAGAGGGAGGGTCACTTGCACAGATATAAGATACCAAAATATATGCCTAGTATCTCCCAAAATATGATGCCATAAATGATGAAGCTCCAAACGAGATTTCTGGGGAAGGGAAACAAGGGAAACCAATTGAAAACTGAAGGTTTTTAGCTGGTTTGGCTCGTGTTCTTGTGTTACTAAAGTAGCAGTCTAGTCAACTTCTCTCCCAGAAAATGGTATGGGAATGCCCAAATCCCTTTTTGGTTTATAGGAAAATTGCAGAATGGCTTAAAAAAAAAAAAAGAACAAAAAGGAATATCTCAAAATTAACAAGGTCAAGGCTCAAGCAAATAATGCTGGAATGCCTTAATATTGAAAGAAAACAAACAAACCATCCTTCGCGTAATAATATTGAAAAGCACAGCTAAAGCCATCTGTCCCAGGAATGCTCCAAGATGAAAATCCATGAAAAGAAGATGCTCCTCATGTAAGTTCTCTTTTGTGTCATATGAAATAAGTATCACATGAGTATTTATATGTAAGAAAAAATGTTATATTGCCTCACCTAACTCCAGATCTCCCTTCACCTTCCCTTCTTCCTGTGGGGCTAATTCTGCAGCCAAAAATCTGCTAGCAAAGGATGTCCCACTCCAAAGACCACTTCTGTCTTGAGCTCCTCCTTTGACCTCAGCAACTAAGACCCTGTGACTTCAGCCAATCTTAATGGGAACCAAGGGCTAAGCAGAGTGAGGCTTCACCTCGCTGGATGTAAAATGGGCCTTGTCCTTGTGCTGCACTGTTGCCAATAGGTGAATCCAGAACACCTCATTAATCCTCAGGTAGATGGCTTTGTAGCTTGTGCACCATTAATCTTTTGTGTACAGTATGTGCCACGGGCACTTGATCTGACGGCATATGGCATTTTTGACTGAAGGACTAGAAGGATAAAAAAAATCAACACAGTACATATGAAATGGAGTAAAAAATGGCTAAAACAGTCAATAATTAGTCACTGAGGTTTCCTATTAGGCACTAGCGGGTTTCCTATTGCAGCCATTTTGAAAACGAAACTAGCATTTTTTTTTCCTAAAAACATGCCTGGTGCAAGCAAGTCGAACCYGGGAAGTTCCTATAGTAACATCTGCCTCATAGTGGGCTATCCAAACGTCCCCTTCTGGTTTTGTGGCGCTGCAGTGGTAGCAGAACACGTGCCTTCCTTGAGGCAGCAGCACCGCGCTGGGACACTGATGGGCCCGGGGCTGCAGGACATCTGCAAGGCACTGGCTCCTCTTCCTTGCATCCTCTTTTCACTCAGGACTCACTGGCCCTTTGGGATTTCCTGCCATATGTAGGACTGCGGCCTGATAACTGCCCGAGAGATACGCTCCCACTAGATCCAAAGGGACCCTGCTGGTGTTTGAAGTTCATGGATTGACTTCAATGTTGCTCCAAAATTGCAAGCAGTAGAAGGGAGTGGGAAAAACACAACCACATCATTTTTCCATTCAATTAAATACAAGTTCACACCAACTTCTTGGAAACCGGAGCTGAAGTCAACAAGCACAAATAAATAAAAATAAAAAATAAAGTTTATTTTATAAAAATGAAATAAACAACACAGAGAATCCACATTAAATTGACAATAACTTTCTCAAATGCTCTCAGAGGTGGGACGTAGCACTGGATAGGTACTCTCAAACCTCCACAGAAGCAATTCTTAGTAATTCTCTGAAAACACAGGACAACCAGAAGGATGCCAGCATCTCAGCTGTGGTGATTACTATGGGAATACCCAACACATTGCACCACTTTTTTAAAGTCTTTAACGCAAAGCGAGGCAGCTTGGTAGCAGAATGCTTAAAATCAAACAACTAGTAAAACCGAGTCTTCTCCCTAAAGGCCAGTTATAATCTTTTTTAAACAGAAACGAAGCTGCTAGAAAGCAGAATAAAGGCTTTTCCCAGGACCATCTACTTCAGAGGTCACATACCGGGATGAGGAGGAATGGAGGAAACACAGCATAAACCCAGAAAACACTCAGTAACTCGCAAAAGAGGAGGTACAAAGACAAAGACCGGGACACTGTGCAAACTCTAAAGAKAACCCGCAGACAAAATCGTAAAGATGAGGTTTGCCTGCACAGAGCTGGTGCCTCCACTGCGGTCCAGGCTGTGCCGTGCGGGCTCTGCTCGGTGCTCGGGGAAGTCGTCACTCCCGTGTGCCACCCAACAGGCTGAGGTCATTCACGGCACGAAACCCAAGGCAGGCAGACGTTCGTCCAGCCCGACACGGCCTSAGGGCTGAATTTCAGCCAGACCCCAGGACCCAGCAGCGCTAACAAACAGGACTCTGGATTTCTTTTTAGTAAAAGTTAGTGTGAGTAAAGTTGCCATAAGAAGTACCCTCTAATTCCCATTTCTTTCAAAAACACCTGCAATAGCTGCACAGGGTCAGTTCAGAGGTTCATGCTACTTGTTTCTTACCTTTTGACTAATAATGAGAGTTAATAATGAGAGACCCTTCACGCATACCCCATCACACTGAGGTGTCTCCAAGTCCTTGCATGTCTGTGACAGAGACCACGCTCAGATGAGTCTGGAAGACCAAACTAGCCTCTATCAACTGGATCTCCCTGGTTCAGTGGCTTCTTCAGAGCAACTTCAAAGGTTCTGTGCTCCTCTGGAGAAACCCTGTGATTCTTCCCCCTTATATCATACTTAAACCATTATTTATTGGTTTATATAGAAGAATATTGGTTTATATTGGATTATACAGAAGGGAGGGAAAAGGAAGGGAATGTAGGGGAGGGCTGCAGCTTCTACCAGTGTTCTCAGATCAGGTATCATATTGGCTACCTCCCTTTCTTCAGGATTGGGACACTAGCAAGCACCAGGCTGCACACCACGGCTATCCACGTGACAATTCCACATGACARTTTAGTTCTTTTAACCTACCTCCGCTCCTGGTAATTTGCTTTACTGTTCTTTACATAATGATGCACTGCTTCTGAAATCCCTTCTACTAGAAGTTTCTTGGTGACAAATCTCCCGATAAGTTCTTTATAGAAAACCATAAACTTCCCTAATTACCTTTGCTACTTTGATCATTTACTGGTCCTATAGGTTTTCTGTCAGGATTCTGCCTGTGCTTGAAAAAGACATTATTTGACAAGTTTTTATGCTTTTATCAGGTTGTTCTTCCAAATCTCTTTTGGCCTGCCTTATCATGTTTATATATTTAACTTGTTTATGTTCATTTTTATATTCCTCATTTAGACATAACTTGAACTTGAAGGAAGCCCTTTTATTTAGAATAAAAGAAGACTTTTTTAATAAGAGACATCCTCTTACTCCTTCTCCCTGCTGTTTAGCTATGCAAACCTTTTTTTGGTCTTCTAAAGTCTTTTTCTGGAATTTGGCTCATATTTAAACAATCTTCATGACTTCTGTAAACATTTTAATTTTTGGCTCCCCTTCTTTTCAAACAGTTTTCACATTTTCATGTAGTTCCCTCTTTGAAGTTAAATATTGCCATGGGAGATTTCCCCCCCACCTTTTTTTTTCTTTTCTTTTTTTTTTTTTTTTTGCTATTTCAGGAACACAGAATCATTACACAGAAGTTCTTTAGTAGCTGTATTTTGAACCAGGTCTTTCTATCCTCTCTTCCAGGACTGCTTAAGACCAAGTCGAGAATTATTTTTGTTCTTATAAAATAACCAAAGAGCCTCTGCATAGTCAATCATTTACATATGATACCTAACATTTTATTAAGCATCAATTTCCCTGGCACATTTACCCATTCTCCTTTAGTTAAATGATGTCCCCTGCTGCTATTGCATTTCCTGCCTTCATGCCCCGTTTGATCTTCTTCAGCTTTTCACATGGACCACCTCCATTTAGGAAGCACAGCCAGTAYTAGAGTCCCAATACTGTATTTCTCCCATCACTATATCCCTGCAGTACTTCAGTTTTATTTTTCCTCTTTTTAATTTTAATTTCTATCTGTAGAGAGGTTATGCTTTTGCAGCACAGTTGACCTATGAGATGTGACCCTATGTTTTCTCCAAGAYAAAAAGCTGCTCTTCCACTGGCAAATCTGTTTCCAATCTGTTTCAAAACATATTTACTAATAATTTGCCTCAGGAGCTCCTCAGGAACAGCTGAAGTCTAAACTCTAAATGGATTCAAAACCACAGTGCTGGATTGCTGCTGTAACTGTAATACGGGTGCAAACCACAGGTCCAYACCATTCTAATACTTTTTTAACCTGGTAAGACGCTTTATTCTGTACCAGTATTACATTTCTGAATAACGTGAAGAGATATTTTTATAGGCTGAACCTGTTGTTGAAATTTCCTAACTGAATTTAATATAGAGCTTGCTGAGAGCTTGGAAGCAGTTACACCGTGCAGTGGTCTATGAAAACTCATGAGTCTGAGAGGAGCCTCCTTTAATTCACACACGTGATGGGAATTCAGACCTGTACCAGCCATTGGCACTGCCACCCTTGGCTGTTCT